CCGGGGGGGGGGGGTACGTTAACCCCGGGGTCAGTGACCCCTCGGGCCAGTTACGTCAGCTCCGTTACCCCCGCTACCCACCACACCCGCCACTTTTGATGTCGTAACGAGTCGTGATCTCATTTTCATTTGATTGCGCGGGTATTTCGGTACTCGAGGGGTTACTGACCCCGGTGCATCTACTTTAGAATCGGGTCAACGGCTTATTATTGTGGTAGGTGTTCCGTGGCGCTGGGTATCTACGGAACTTTCCAGATAAGCACCGAGAGATTCCCATGGTTGTTATCGGCACCGGACTGAGATCCTCTCGATTCTTCTTCCCTTGCCCGAGTTCGAACACCTTCGACCTCCGAGGTCCACGTAAGAAATCGACAACGTGGTACCCCATGCTTGGACGGACGTTCCAGCCAAATATCATTGAGGTATGGTAAACGTAAAACGTAGTCCGAGATCAGTGATAGCAGCCATCGTCGGGGGTAGCACAGCGTAGTGTAGCGTAGCGTAAATGGAGATAGGTATCTAGCTCCCGTACTAGCAAATTCTTGAGGGCCGTAGTGCTGCGCGGGTTAATGCCCTCGGCGAGCGAGAGAGTGCAGGAGCGAGTAAAGGAGGTAGGGGGTGGAGAGAGAGAGAGAGGGAGAGAGAGAGAGAGAGAGAGAGAGAGAGAAGAGCGAGAGAGAGAGTGAGAGAGAGAAAGAGAGGAGAGGCGGAGCGGAGCGCCACGGTGGTTCGACTGTGCGCATGCGCAGCCGAGGGAGCTACGTACGTCACCGTTACACCGTTCGGTGCCGTTCCTCCTGTTACTTCTATCGTCGTTCCTTCTCTTGACAACTGGGCTGGCTATACACCCCACTCTACTCTCGTTACCCTCTCTACGCGAAGACTCCGAGCCCTCACTCCGGGCTACCCTGATAGCCCCACCAGGAGGCACGCCGAGTCGCACGCGGCGCTCCGGTCGTTGCCCTCTCGCGGCCACATCGCGTATCCCACACGACTTGCCCGTGTGCGCGATCTTCATATTGTGGCTGTCACGGTGAGGATCCCAGGGTGGACTAGGTGGACTAGGTGCACGCGTCGCATTGTCACTGGCAGCGCTGCACCTAGGTGGGTCCACGGTACCCTGGATCCACGGATTCGTGGTCCGATCGGGCAGGAACCTCGTGGAAAGGAAAGAAAACAATAGAATGCCTGACTTTCGTTGATACGCGTCTAGAAGGTTCCCAGTGACACGGATAGTCGCGCATGCGCGGACTCGCGGTCTCTCTACGTGACTGCAAAGGCGTTCTCGCCCTCTACTGACCTGGACAAGGGGAATGCACGCTGGTCGGGATCGATGTACTGCAACCTCCCGGCTCCACTTGCGCCGCCACCCCTCTCTGGCTTCGAACGGGGTTGCTGCCCTCGCCTGGGCACCTCGAATTGATCGTATAAATAACGAATGTACCTGGGACACCATAGTCAGGGACCTCGGGGGGGGCCTGAATCACTGGATTGATTCTGATTAGGGTATCCCTTGGAGCTCTTATGGTTTCTCAGGCCGGTAGGGTAGGTCTCTGACCTGGTCTCCCTGGACCTGGCCCAAGCTCGAGATCCACTCGGATGCCGACTCTGCGCTAGACGAATTCATCGTCTGGCTCCGATACACGTATCGGATAGCACAGCGACCAATCGGAAGTGCCGAGCATCTCCTCGCGCAGCAGATGCAACGGTACCTCGCTCTCGCTCGCTGCACGGAAGTTGAGGTAGGCGAGGTCGCGTGTCTGACGTCAGACCCTGGGCCAGTCTCACTCGAGGTTCCCGCACCGCTACGCGCGTACGTGCATCAATTCCCCATTGGCGCACTTCTTCGAGGCCGTCGGTTGCCTGCGTGCCTCGTGGCGCGCATGCGCGAGCGCAACTCACTCACCCAGTGACAACGTTTTTCGCGTTACGTAACGTCCCGGGTTCGCGAGCCCTCCCGGTCGTTGACCGATAGCAGCAGCTCCGAGTCCGCACGTATATCTGTCATAGCGGACAGGCTCTGGGTAAGGGACGTAGAGGGGCCAGGGGCGTACACACCAGTGCCAACCAAAGGGGGAATTCCGACGATGCTCGTAGAAAACAAAAAAAAAATATCACAGCAACCACGAGGCACTTCCTACCAACCTAAAAGCCGTTTACCGTACTTTTTCGTACCATGTGACATCAGGCTATGGTCGTATCGTTGAAAAGAAAAGAGATGCCCTATACGTTGCTCGAATGAAGTAATTACCAGGGTGACACGGAAAAAGAGGTCTCAGCCGTGAGTCGCGAACCTACTAGTTATTTGTGTTATTCGTGAGTGGGTGGGGAACGGGCCTTTTACCGAGTTGGCAATGATGTGGCCGAGGGGTGGCAGGAGGGGGGGTCGGGGGAACCACAGGGGACGCGCGTATCCTTAGGTAGGCCGGGGGTGGAGCGGGGAAGCAAGGGGGTGGAGCCTACAAGACGGCCAGGAACCCGTTAGTAGAGCGCTCGGAGGCGCTTAGTCGCGGCAGCACGAGAGAGGCCGATAACCCGCCTATTCGCGTCGGTAGGAGCGAGACACACTCGTCATAGGGACTCTCACTTTCACGCGGTGAACTGCTGCCGCGGGTGAACGTCCGGGAATTGGGTCAGAGGGATCCCCACCCTGCGAACCAAAGCCAATGTGCCGAGGCTCTATGCTCTCTGTGCTAGAGAGAGCCAGTCCACAGCCAAGCCTCGATAGAAACGGTTGCCTTTACAAAGTATCTCTCACGCCGTCTACGTTCGTTGTGCCACGATACGCCGTTCGCGTACGACGATCTTAAAGCAATTGTACAAACATATATATATATATACTGTTGTTCGAACGAGCCTCCACGTTGTCTGCCGGAACGCACGTTTTGGACTGTCCGTTCGGTTGGGAAGTTCCGACGCGGTGTTTACGGTTATCTAAACTCGCTCTTGTTTTGTTGTGTCCGCTGTGTATGGCGGCGACAGCTGAAGATACCGTGTGATATAACTTGGTGTGACTTTTGCGACGGGAGAGAGAGAGAGAGAGAGAGCAACGGGTGGGGATAGGACGATCAACAGAGACACGTAATAGTTTGTGTGAATTTGAAGATTTTACAGTTCGCGATTAATCACAGTGATTCGTATATCGCGCGAACTCGACGATTGACTTTATTTGCAAAGGGATTTGGCGAGCGAGGAATTTTCATGGGGTGCTTGTGCGAATGTGACCTGGCCGCCCCGCGTACGGGGAATGATTGCTCGTCGGGATCGTCCTCGGATAGCGACAGTCAAACTGACGAGGGATTTGCTGGTGATTCGCAGGGTTTCTTCCGGAGGAGTATTCAGCAAAAGATACAGTATCGGCCCTGCACCAAGAATCAACAGTGCAGCATTCTGCGCATCAACAGGAATCGCTGCCAGTACTGCCGCCTCAAGAAGTGCATCGCTGTCGGCATGAGTCGAGACGGTGAGTAATGAGATTTTATAATTTACATTTTTTTTTTTATTCCAACATTTCATTTGTCGCTCGACCGCGTCGTGCCTTTGAGTATTAATAACTGTGGTATCTATCAGCGAGAAGAAAGCTAGACGCGATAACGTTTTTGACGGTCCTTATCGTCGATACGAAAAATCGTAACGATTCTTGGCTGGGTTGAATAACATGTTTATCTTGTGGCAATTGTTTACGCGCGTTGCCTAAATAGGTTGTGGATTACGGTTGTGGTGGGGATGACGAGGGACAGAGG